CCGACCAGCAGGCGAAGGACGGCAAGGAGAGCGGCACATCCATGTTCAAAGTCTTTCGGATGGCCATGGTGCCCGAGGTGTCCGTGTCCATGTTCTGCATCAAGGCCGTGCGCTACGCCCTCATGTTCTGGCTGCCTCTGTACCTGACGCGGACACTCGGCTACACCCAGACCGGCGCCGGCCTCGCCTCGACCTCCTTCGAGGTGGGTGGCGTCGTGGGCAGCGCCTGCGTGGGCATGGTCGTGGACCGGTGGATGGGGGGCCGTGCCCTGCTCGCCAGCACCATCGCCATCGCAGGCTCGGCCGTGTCGCTGCTGCTGTTCATGCTGACGGCGTCGTGGGGCTTCGTCTTCCACGCCGTGTTCCTGGCCATCGCGGGAGCCCTGAACTGCGGCCCCGACGTCCTCCTGGCGGGCTCGGTGGCGGCAGACATCGGGGAGCGAGAGGGCGGCGCGCCGACGGCCGTGACGAGCGTGGTCAACGGCATGGGGTCTCTGGGGACGGTGCTGGAGGGCCCCGTGGTGGCGTTCGCGGCGGCGTGGTTCGGCTTCTCGTCCATGGTGCCCCTCATGATTCTGCTGCTGTGCTTCGGGGCTGTGGCTGCCTTCCGCGCCAGTCGGATCCACAGGCGCACAATGGGGAGTGTCAGGCTGTCAAATGAAGCTTGTGTAGCTTAACGCGAAAAAAAACAATTATTTATTACTTGATTTTCGCACCTTCTTTCTTATAAGCTGTCGTGAATAGCAGTGTAGTATGAAGTGAGTTTATTCTACTACCAAAGGTGTATAACATTCGCATAAATTTAACTTTTTTCAGTATTATCTGTACCATTTATTTCTCTAGATGAATAGAAACATATTTTGATTAGATTATTTTTTATTTGATTATATGTATATCCTAGTCTGATTTAGAAGCTATTTAGCACAATGATAATAATTTTTCTCATAAAATGAGCACTCTGTACGTTCTTCAATAATTCAATGTAGTTATTTTATTAATAATATTAATGGGTTAGAGACTGCGCTAACCAGATTGTTAAGCATATTGCAGAATATATTGTGAACTATAATTGATTATGGCATTAAAAGAAATGCTTGAAGTTTTTCCTTGTTTTATTGAGAAACCTTTGATATACATTAGTTGATTAGTGTCACCTGCAGTGAACCATTTACCAAACACGGACACATTGTTATATTTTCAGTGTTTCACGAGCAATGCACCATGGATCAACAAGTCAACAATTATTCTTATATATAAAAATATATATTATGCTATATAAATTTATTTTTGAATTATGTGTTAATAAATATTTGTGAATATTAGATCCGTCGGAATATGACTAGGCCATAGATTTTTTTTTTTTTTTTTTTTTTTTTTTTTTTTTACACAATCTTTCGAAATGTAATCACTGAGATAAATTCGACTCCCATTCGATTACCTATTGATTAATTCTGATAAATCTGCTTATTAAATTTTTAAAAATCCAAATAACAGATGACTTTCTTAGAACCTAAGAGACCCATGGCGATGTGAAGGATTATACACAGGAGTAGCAGGTTTGTAAGTCGGTCCATAGGCAGGTTTATAGACAGGCTTGTACGAAGGTTCAGGCTTATAAACAGGCTTAGCTGTGTACAAGGGCTCGGGCTTATATACAGGCTTAGCTGTATACAAGGGCTCGGGCTTATATACAGGCTTAGCTGTGTACAAGGGCTCGGGCTTATATACAGGCTTAGCTGTGTACGAAGGTTCAGGCTTATATACAGGCTTAGCTGTATACAAGGGCTCGGGCTTGTAAACAGGCTTGGGTTCGGGGTAGGTCGGTGTTCCTTCGTAAGTGATGGTCGGGTGGTAGCCTGTTTCGTCGGAGTAATAGTTGACGATCATCCTGCGTCCGTCGGGCAGGTCCACGAAGTACTGGCCTTCGGTGCGGTAGCCGTCGCGCTTCTCCGAGTGACCGAAGTTGGTGCCGTGGTAGTCGTCCGTGACGCCGTAGCCGAAGTCGTACTCGGAGGGCTGAGGGAGAGGCGGGGTTGAGTTCTTAGTATTATTCGCATCATTAGCATCCACACCTTCTTCTTCTTCTTCTTCTAATTCTTCTTCTTCTTCTTCTTCTTCTGCTTCTTCTTCCTATTCTTCTTCCTATTCTACTTTTTTTCTTCTTCTTCATCTTCTTCTTCTTCCCTTTTTCTTTTTCTTCTTTTTATTTCTTCTTTTTCTTCTTCTCCTTCTTCTTTTTCTTCTTTTCTTCTTCTTCTTCTTCTTCTTTTTAAGGTAAAGGGAAGCTATATCATAGGTGATCATAGGGAAGAGAAGGAGAAGATAATAGATGTCAAAAGGAATTAAGAAGACGTAGACCAACGCGAAGGAAAGGAGGAGGAGAAAACTAATAAGAAAGGAAATTAAAATTTAGCAGTAGTACTTGCATTAAATGTCGTTACTCTGAAGGAACGTAAAATATATCATTATCATTGCCCTGAAAACAAACTTGTGTGCTGTGTGGTGCAGCGGTAGCGATCTCGTCTAGCAATCTTGCTGACCTGCGCTCGAATCCCTCGCCGCCAGTGGATGGTAACCTCGGCCATTCCTTGCACACAGGGGATTACTTTGAAGCAAAATGAAACAGACAGTACGTCACACCAAGAATATCCATTGTAACAAATGGAGTCAAACTAAACCTCTCCGTCTCCCTCCTCTCTCTCTCTCTTCCTCCTCTCACACTCTCTTCATCTCCTTCCTCTCTCCCTCTCCCTCCCCTCTCCGTCTCACTCTGCTCTCTCTCTCCCACCTCTCACACTCTCTTCCTCCTGCTCTCTTGCATTTCCTCCTCTCCCTTCTCCATCCTGAAAAAGAAAGGGGGGGAGGAGAAAGAGGGAGAATGAGGAAAAGGAAAGAAGACAAAGAAAAGGTAGAGAAGAAGGAAAAAGGAAGACGAGGAGGAAGAAGAAGAGACGAGAAGGAAAAGGGAGACTGAGGGAAGAGAAAGGAGGAAAAGGAGAAAGAAATAAGAACAACAGGAAAAGAGAGCAGAGATACACTAATGAGCAATTGCTATCATGAAAAGGTGTTGCAGTAATGAATTTTTAAGCTGGATTTATTTTTTACATTCAGCCCCTGATGAGTTTTCTTAATGCGAGTATGATTAGTTATGAAAATTAAAGTAAAGCAAAAGGTCTTAGAATTATGAAACCCTTGAAGTATATATACATATATATATATATATATATATATATATATATATATATATATATATGTAGATATAAATATGTATATATATATATATATATATATATATATATATACATATACATATATATATTATATTTACACACACACACACACACACACACACACACACACACACACACACACACACACACACACACACACACACATACACACATACACACATACACACACACACACACACATATATATATATATATATATATATATATATATATATATATATATATATATATATATATATACATATGTATGTACATACGTACGTACGTATGTATGTATGTATGTAAATTACTGAAATTATAGCTAGAAGTTATCACTTGTAATCGTCTTCATACACTCCAAAGGCGCCGAAATAGCTTCCCTTGTCTCAGAAGATTAGTTAAATTGTTTCAAATAAGACTAAAGTACCGGATACGCGGCTTGCTTCGTAGATGGAGAGATATTACCTGAAATAAATACTTGCGTAATTGGAGGTAAAGGTTTGTAAAAAGAAAAAAAAACATTAACACTTACATAAACATACACACACTCAAACTCAAACAAACACTTAAACATAAATACCCCCCCCACACACACACACACATACACACACACACAAACACACACACTCAAACACACACTTACACGCGCACACGCACACACACACATACACACAAACACACACTCAAACATAAACATAAAACCACAAACACCCCCCCCAAAAAAAAAAAACATTAAAAATTAAAACACTAAAAATCTTACTCCATCATGGTACTCAGGTTCCTGCTTGTACGCTGGCTTATGCAGAGTCTTCGGCTTCGCAACCTTGTAGACTGGCTTGTAAAACGGTTCCTCAGGCTTGTAGTCGGGTTCTGGTTCGTAATGTGGCTTAGGATAAGCGTAGGCCGGTTCTGGAGTGTAGGCCGGCTTGGGGGTGTAGCTTGGCCTGTGTGTTGGCTTGGGTTTGTAAGCGGGCGGGCGGGTGTAGAGGGGCTTGTAGGTGGGCGTGGGCTTGTAGGTGGGCGTGGGCTTGTAAGTGGGCGTGGGCTTGTAAGTGGGCGCGGGGGAGTAAGGGTGGGGGTGGGCGTTGTATCCTGGAGTGTAGTGGGGCTTGTAAGTGGTTGGGTGGTAGCTAGGGGGGGGGTGGGGGTGGACGGCCGCACCTGAGCCACTTGCCACAACGGCCGCCAACAGATGGAGGGAGATCTGGGGGGCAGGGGGGGGGGGGGGGAGTCATTAAGACATTGGTATCGGTAAATATCTCGGGGTTTAAGACTTTCTCGCGTGACATGACAACGATAATAAAAAAAAGAAGAAAAAGAAAAGAAAAGGGGTGATCATTTTTTTTAAATAGAAGAAAGAAAAAAAGAAAGAAAGAAAAATAAAGAAAAAAATAAGAAAAAGAAAAAAGAAAGGGAAAAAAAGAAGAAGCAGAAAAAAATAATATATATTCTTTTTTCTGAATAGCTATGTGATTAATCTGCACTCCCGATGTTATGTTTTAGGAATTTGAAATATTACAATCATGATCAAGTAAATATCAAAGATGGACGTTCATAACACTTGTAGATCTAAGTGACAGTGATACTTAACTAAGTTTCCCCAGAGAACCTAATACACAGTCGTATTTTACTGAAGGTCCTTTTTGCTGCCTGTGATGCAGTTTAGATATGTATTGTGTAAAGAGAAAAAATAGAAAAGTAGAAAAAAAAACTAAGTAAAACTACATAAACTGAATAAAAAAACATAAACTGTGACCAAATAGTTGTAAC